TTGCGTTCTCCTGATTGATGAATCACCTGAAAACCTTGAAATCAAGTTAGTAGCTTGTGAAAATAAATGTTTGGCCTTCTTACTTACGTTTTTGGATGGTTGGGAAGGCCCTGAGAGAGGAACGGTGCCATATTTGGCTTCATAGACTCTATATAAAGCAAAAAACTGATCCTTCACATTAGTCTTATAGTTTTCTACATCATCGTCAAGAAACATGCATTGAAAGTAAATGTCAACTAACATAAATGTGTTTTCATACTTTTGCCTAGGATCTAATATGGAAGCAAAAATATAAATCAAAGGAATCTCACTATAATATTTACGCCACTTTTTTTCCATTGCTGGAAGATACTGATCATAATCACTTTGATCGCGATGATCAGCGAAAAGTTGGGCGAGTAAGCATGCATTAGAAAGAAAGTTTTGAGCACAAGGATTGTAAACAGTAGAAAAACAATACGTCATGTTATATAATAACTGTAAAAATTGCATATATCTTTCACAGTTTTCCAATCATCATCATACAAAGCATTTTGTGGAAATTTTTGGTTGTAAAATAATGTTAACGGGCCCTTGTACTCAATTGCCTTTGTTAACATGTCATAGGTGGAATTCCACCTAGTTGGGCAATCGGTTCTAATTTTTATTACCCTTATCTTTTGTTGTTTTAGAAAACTCTTCCATTCTTGGTATCTCATGTTAGAGCTATTAATAGACATAATAGCATCTCTGATTTTGCTGTAGTATGGGCCAATTGCCCGAACTCCATCCTGTACACATAAGTTAAGTACATGGCAAACACATCTAGTATGAAGAGCTTCACCGTCTAATAGTACATCGGTTAAGTTTTGTTTGATAAGATTAGCTTTGTATGTCATAGAGGTTGCATTATCAAAAGTCATAGACATCATTTTATCTCGAAGGTTGTATTCGTCTATTGCTTGCATTAAATGGTGAGCAATGTTAATGCCGGTGTGTGGGTATTCCAGCATTTTGAAATGTATTATTCTTTTTTGTAACATCCATTGATCATCTACCCAATGGCAAGTCACACATAAATAGTGATATTTATAACCACTATCCCAAGAATCGGCTGTTAAAGATACTCTACAGTTAAGGTTACTCAATTCGGCTTGTAACCGGACTTTGTACTCTAGAAAATTTTTCATTGCGGCGGAACGAACGGTTTTCCTAGAGATTCTTTTATGTTGGGGTTGTAGTGCTTTGTTAATGTAGGTGTTGAATGCGTCACTTTTCGAGAAAAGAAAAGGTTGTTCGGCGTGTACTATCATTTTTCCTAGTTCATCCCTATCCCTCTCATAGTTGTATGTAAAGCCGTATGGATGGAATTGGGAAATTTTGGGCTGGGTTGGATCACTAGCTGGTTTTGCACAAGCTTTCATGTGTCTAGATAAGTGTCCCGTCCCGTTTTTGGTAACTGCCGTGAATACACTATTACATGTTTTACATTTTGCCCATTGTTCACCATCTTTACTTAGGACAAAATAACGCCATACCTCACTCCTTCGGTTTTTCAAAAGTAGCATCTCAGTTTCGGTTAACCATTCATGATGTGTGTGATGGTTAGTAGTGGGACTAGTGGGAGTGGCAGTAGAAGGGGTAGAACCGGAGGGAATTCGGGTACTTTCTTGGCTACCTTGGCTAGAACAATAGTTTTGTTGATTACCGATATAATTAGGTGGAAATTGGTATGGTGGTAGTGGAAATTGGTTTAGTGGTGGTGCTGGAAATCCCGACGTATTATATGGCTCATAGCCCGGGGGGAAGTAAATGGGGTCATTGGTTTGACTCGTAATTTGGGGGCTCGTTGTATTTGGTGGTTCCCTAGAACTACTACTACGGATAAGTCGGCCTTTCCCCCTAGACCTAGATGATGGGTTGTTCGATGCCATAATTAACAATTAATTTTTTAATAAAAAGTGGTTAACTATAATAATAATAATTAATAACAACAATTTTAACAATAAAAATATCAATAATTTTAATTAATAACAACAACTATAACAATAACAATAACAACAAAAATAAATAATAACAATTGTAACAATAATAATAATTAATAACAACAATTATAACAACAACAATAACAATTAACAACAATAATAATTAAACAAGATTATTCTAATAATAACAATAAAACAATAATAAATTTAAGATTAGTTTAGATCTTACAACCGTGCTTCAACGCTCCACTAATTACGATTACGAACTTTTTAATTTTTTCCGATATTAGGAAAATAATTAGAGAATTTAAGAGAATAATTAGAGAATTTAAGAAAATAAGGATTATTAGAGATTTAGAGAATATAAGAGATAAGAAGAAGAGATTGTGATTTTGTGATTTGGGAATGAAATGGAGGTGAGTATTTATAGAATTTTTGGCAAAAAACTAGCCGTTTTATAGCCGTTGGCCCGCGGGCCGTGCCTACGGGCCGTGCCTGCGGGTCGTGCCTGCGGGCCAGCACGGCGGGCCATGCCCGTGCTCGTGCCGGGTCGTGCCTGGGAATTCTCAACCGTGTCCGTGGCACGGCCCGTGGCACGGAAGTTGAACTTCGTGTCGTGCCGTGCTTGACTTCGGGCCGTGCCGGGCGGCACGCGGGCCAACCTGGCCCGTGCCCAGGTTTACCAGGAAACTAATGAGACGGAAATGTTATTTCTTACCTAATGTATTACTCCATACTTCCTTAAAATTAATACTTACCACCTTTATTCACTATTTAACTTTAATCAACAATATAACACTACATTACATCTCCAAAAAATTTATGCACTATGGAAATAAAGCTTAAATTTAAGAACGAAGGAAGTAATTAATTATATAGTTGGACAGTTGACTGTCAAAGAAACTTAGATATTATACCATATATATGTCACTATTGTACTTAATATAATTTGGTTTATAATACTTCCTCCGTTTTGCTAAATTTTAACACTTGTCAGATCATAATCACTATATCACTCCTCTAGCATGTCAAATCACAAGGAAGATTTGTTAGTGTTGGAACTCCACTTCTAGACAAATAATACTACATTGTATATAGTTCAGGCCAAACGATAAAACTAAGTCGTTAATTAAGAATTTGGTGATTGAATCTATAGCATTTAACCAATCCTATACTCAGATCCCTTCACAATGAAATTAAATATCACATTAGATTATTAAGTAAGTTTGACTTTGAATATTTTAAAATTATCCTTTTTTTGACAAACAATAAAATTATCCTTTGATACTTCTCTTAATAGAAAGTAGAGGCACAAGTCTACATACCATTATGTAGACAAATAAATTTTTGCTTATTACTTGGAAATGAGGAAATGTATCAGAAAATTGTTAAATAACTTCAACTTGGATGCTTAAACTAAGATTGTTGATATATATTATTTATTGTAATTTGCTAAGTCATTGAATTATCATTTTTAATGTTATTTGCATCAATTATTGGACGTATAATAAGACGCCGGTGGCTGCATTAGACTAATAAGATCGCAACTTTCAAGATTATTCTTACTAATATTAGGATTTAAAATTGATCTATGAACATCATTGATCTTAGAGGACTATGTCAATGGAAAATAAAATGTTAACGTAAGCCATTAGAAAAGAAGAACTATATTAAAGTGGAGATTATAAGGATCTTTTTAGTTTATGAATCGTTACGTGTCAAACATTAACTTGTGAACAAGGTTATGATGTTTTCTATCCCCGTAAATTGTATCCACATCTTCAAGTTTAAATGGCACTCAATAATTAGCTAGCTTGTCATTACTTTAATTATCAAACATGTAATGTTACCAATTCAAAGTTGCAAAGTATGAAGTACTTGAATTACTTATTTAACTGTCTAAAATTTAAAAAATCTAAGCAATGATTTTCTAATACTATCCTATCATATATTTCAATTTTTAATAAGGTCCAAATATGAAAAAATGTTGAAAGATTATAAGTTGGATTAAGAAAAATTGTTAATTTAAGCCAAGTTGCATAATATAATCTTTTTGTAAAGGACTATTGAAACTAGAAAGCAAAGCAATAGCTAGTGTACGTGGTAAATATTCTTAGCAAAATTTGACTTCTAGAGTTCTCATTTATTTACGTACTTATATTTTTTTTTTCACTTAATATACTTGTGCGCTAATTAATGCATTTAAACACTTATATACCTTATTATTAACAATTAATAAATACCATAAAAATTTGATATTATGAAAATACAAAGTACTTTATAAATCAAGACGAATATTTTGTTAATAATATAAATCATTGAGGGTACATAGTCAACTTATCATATGTAAATGGAGATGAAGTCCATCAAAATGTTCCTAGTTTAGTAGTTGACGCAATGTGGTTTATGGTTCCATTATGTTATAATTATACTACGTTAAACAGTGGTATTATATGTTACATTGGATATAAAAATCATCAATATCATGCTGGTTTTGTCACTCAATAGATCAGTACAGTAATTCTCAAGCAAGTTGCTAGAATACGACCTTATTTCTAGCATTGCTTACACAAATATACATCATACATGTGAGCAAAGATACCAAATTGAAGTAATAATGTCTATAATATTTCCTGTTGTTCATTTAGCTTAACTGATTAATTAATAATGAAGGTGGGAAATTACATAACATGCCAGCATTTATGAACATTCTAAGCTTAATTAAGGTTGACATACATACAACATACACTTAATTGAACATGCAAATTAAAGACAATTGATTAAACACTATTAAAAGAGGAAGCCCCAATTCCTCATTATGAGGAACACTTTTGTTTCTCATAATGACATTTTGAAAAATAATGTGATGTTTTTCACTTGTGGGAACCGCCTATGTGTAATGAGTGAAACTCTCAAATCCTGACACATACCCATGAGCAACAAAACCCATTCCTCACAATAAGGAACAGGGAATTCCCCCCACTAAAATTGCAATAATAAACAATATATGTGGGAGGTAATGATTAAATTACTAGATTAAGAGGTACAAACCTTTTTTTCCTTGCCGATATTGAGGACAATGAGCTCGACCAGACCTTTTGTGTTCATCAACACACCAAGGACTAACGCATCCCGAGTCTTCATTTTACAAAACTTAGCCACCACAAAGGTACCAAAAATCTTGCCGAAGCACGCGACCGCGATCACCAGCACGAGCAACCCCCACGCGACGGCCCCTTGGATCTTTGTGACGTCGGTCTTTAGACCGCTAGAGGCAAAATATAGTGGCAACAATAGGCCTGAAACAAAATCCTCAATTCTTTCTAGTAGCTTTTCAGCGAAATTACCTTCTTTAGGGATAATCATACCGAAAATGAATGCTCCAAATATAGAGTGAATGCCTATGAAGTCGGTCATGAACCCGGCCACGAGTACACCGGCTAGGGTTATGGTGATATAGAGCTCGTCCACCACACCCTGCTCTGCGGAGCAACGTCGGACCATCCAGGCCATTAGGGGCTTAACAGCCAAGAACATAAATGCTACGAACCCAACCCCGGCTAGCAACACCCACAACGAGACTAACGGGCTGCTTTTATGGCCACCTTCCTCGCCGTTGCCTGCAAGAGCAACAGCGAGAGCAAGGAGGATCCATGCAGTTACATCGTTAAAAGCGGCCGCTGCCATGGCTGTCTCCCCTACTTTGGTGGTCAAGAGTTTCAGTTCAGCCAAAATACGGGCTAACACCGGAAAGGCGGTGATAGAGAGTGAAACTCCCATGAAGACAAGGAAAGGACCATAACCAGCTCCGTCAGCTCCCTCGATGGTGCGGCGGAGTATAACAGCTACCGCTGCACCACCGATAAAGGGGAGACTTATTCCGGCTAGAGCAATGGTGAAGGCCTCACGGCACGAATAGAGCCTAGGTCCAACTCAAGGCCTACAAGGAATAAGAAGAAAAGAAGACCAATGCTAGCAACTGATTCTAATATTGGTGTGCTCCATTTTGGAAAGATTGTATCCATGTATTGTTGGTTCCTACCAAATGCTGATGGTCCCAGCAATATACCCCCCTGATCAATGTTAAATAAATCATTATTATACAAAGAATAGTTACCACTTAATACAACATACATATGAATCTTATTCAGGAAAATAATTATACATAATCATTTAAGGCATTGTTTGTATGATTTATTATGAGTACATACTACAATTTCAGCAATGACTTTGGGTTGACGGAGAGGCTTGAAGGCAAAGGTGAGGAGGCGGGTTATGACGAGGATTAAGGTGGTTTGTATAATGAGTAAGGGGAAGGCGGTTTGAAGGGCGTTATCACCTTGTAAAATGCCATCAGAGGCAGTTTTGATGGCTGTTATGTTTAACATTATTATTGTTGCTTTAAGTTGATTGCTAAAAGACTATGTTGGAAAAGTTTGATGTATTAAGCATGAAGTTTAGACGTTATATATATAATGATCTTTTGTGCATCTTTGAGACTTTGAAAGCACAATTACGCAAGAATATGTCACGCTCTCCGTCCATAGGACTTCAAAATTAATTTTAGGAAATGGAGCAAAGTTGCAATAAAATACACTTAAAAATAGTTATTTATAAATTTATTATATACATTGTGACAATTATTCATTGACAAATAAATTTTAAGATATTTTAATAAATTTTTTGCATTTTTTTAATATTGAGTTTAATAATTAATTGATCCCTTTTTATTTATTTATTTATTTATTTATTTATTTTTACTACTCCAAAGCATATAAAATATATATAAATGTTAAAACATAGAAAAAAATATATAAATGTTATCCAGTCTATTTCTTTTTGTTATGTTCCATTTGAAATCATCAATTTGAGAAAAGAAATTAAATTTTTATACAAAAAAAGGTAAATAAAAATCTTTGATAAAAAAAGGATCTTGGTTAAGCTTGTATCAATAAGTATTTTAATTTATTTATATACACCTTTTTAATTTATAATGCGTTGTTGAATATATTAATGCTTAAACATTTGCATTGGATATTGTGAAAAAGGTAAATTATAGACCAACAAAAAGGTAAGGATGGGGTATCATATACTCCGTATAAAATTTGATACATTTGTCTCATCAACTCATTGTTTATTTTTAAAATTTCACTTTTCTTTGAATTTGCACTTATTACTACATCTAGCTGTTAAGCAATTTTTAGAGTCAATTTTTTTTTATAAAATATAAGCATATATCCACATTAATATTTATAAATAATATAGTTATATGAGTTCTTATTGAATTTTACTATCTAATTTGAAATTATCTAATGTTTCTAATTTTAAATGCATAAAGAATTAAAGACAATTATATTTTAGAACGTTTTTAAAGACATCAAATAAATCAAATGGTTCAATTTTTAAGAAATGGAGGGAGTAATACTTCCCCCTCATTTTCTTTTTCTATTTTTTCGGTCTCCTTTGGAATCTTCAATTAAAAAAATTATCTATGAAGATTATATGATAAATAATGTGAGAAAAAAAAAAATATATCAATTGAAATTTTGTTGGATTCATCTCGATATAAGTATTGTTTATTAGATATCAACTTTGTATTTAATGTACTATGAAGATATTAATGCTCAAATATGTCAATTGAAAATCGTGCATAAAAAATATGTCACTAAAAAAACTAGGAAAAAAAAGGAGTAATTGAAATATGTATGGTAAAAAAATAGATTAATACTGTTTTTTAATCCTAACTTTCACCAATTTATTTCATTAATCCCAACTTTGGATTATTCCTCAATAATCCCAACTTTAAGGTGGGCTGTCATTCTTCATACCCAAACCGGTCAACAAAAGTCAACAACCCTCTATTGTAGGTTGATGGACACGTGTCGCCACGTGAGTGGTCCAATTTTTTTTATTTTTTTTTGACTGAACCAAATTTTTTTTTTAAAAAAAGAAAAAAAAGGAAAAAATTTCCTTTTATTTTTTCATTTATTTTTAATAATTTTTTTTTATTTCCCCCTTCACCTTTAACAACCCCTACCCCTCCACCTCCATTAATGGCAGCCAGCCAGCCACCATCCCCTCCATTTCCGGCAGTCCCCCCATCCTCTCCATTTCCAGCAACCCTCCTTCCCCTCCGTTTCCGGTCGCCCTTCCATTTCCCCTTGAAACCCATACCCGAAACCCGCCTGCAATCCCCTTTCCTCTTCCCTTCCCTTTCTCCTCCATGACTTCCGACCACCCAATTGAACACCCAAACCCCTCGAATTCCAGAAAAAACCCACCCACCTTATCGAAAAACCGCCAAAAAACCCCATCCCATGGACGATTTTTGGGTTTCGAGATGTTTAGCGTAGGTTCCAGGGTTGGTTTCAGGTGGTTTTTGGGGATTTTCGAGTGGGGCTGGTGGCTTTGAGGGATTTTCGAGAGTGGGGCTGGTGGTTTTTGGGGTTTTCGGGAGTGGGGCTTGTGGTTTTTGGGGTTTGGTTGGTGGCGTGGGAGTTTCGGTGAAGGGGGATGGTGGTTTGGTTCGGAGCGGCGACTCTAGTGGTGGGGAGGCCCGGCGGTCCGACGAGGGAGGTGGCTAGGCTGGCGGGGTATCGAATCTTTTAGAGTGGTTGGGGTTTTGGCTGGGTGGTTTTTTTTTTTGTTTTTTTTCTTCTAATTTTTAAAGCAATTAACATGTGACACGTGTCAAATAATTTTTAATTTTTTTTTAACTCATCTAACCGGTCACCTGTTTTTGGGATTGAAGAATGATAGGCCACCTTAAACTTGGGTTTATTGAGGAATAATCCAAAGTTGGGATTAATGAAAATAAATTGGTGAAAGTTGGGATTAAAAAACAGTATTAATCCTATAAAATATTAATAAAAATAAAAGTATAGTTAAAATGGTGCAATTATTTATATAGGGATGAACTAATTATTATTAGAAAAATTATTAATTATGGACGTCTTACACAATCTTATTAAAAGGAGACCCTATTCATAGCAAAAAAACCTCCAGGTCTCGTTGCACGTGTGAGATGGAGAGCGGTATATTCAACTTTTTCTCTTCTTCCCTTTCTCTCTTCCTTCAATTTTCTTCAAACTACTTCAAGTTCATTTATAACCACTCCATCCATCAATGGCGTTTTGTATGTAATCTTAGCTTTCCATACCTTTCTCCCTTTCCGATTAGGGTAAAATACCATACGCCATGCAGCCTAATCCAAGGCCGACAAATGGACCTCTTCTGTTTCGGGATTTTTGGAGTCCCTCGGGAGAGTTACAATTCTAAGAATGCGCGTTGACCGTCTGTACCTGCAAAATCACGGAAACTCTGGTTGGGTGGAGTTCCGCCTCCGACGATCAAGTTAGAACGTATCCGGATGTATAAAAGTGCGGAATGTAAAGGTTTTTCTCTCGGATTCCGAGAGAATTCTGCAATTAATATTGCTCGGGTTTTATGTGTATATTTATGAATGTGCAATAAATGAGGATTTTCTTCTATCTATAGTGTGAGGGGATCAGTTTCCCTTTTATGGGTTGGAGTGCCACGTGTCACCAGAGGATTGGTTCTCTTAGAACCTCTCTGATGTTGGCACGTGTCAGCACACGATTGGTCTACGTAGACTGGGTATTTTTACCCTAAACAATTGCCCCTCACAAGTGGCACATGGCTTGCCACGTGGCACCTGTGACTGGTGTCATGCTCTGAGGAGGTGACGTTTCGTCTCCTTCTCTCTCCTCCTCCTCTTTTTTTATTTTATTTATTTTTTTTTTGAATTTGAATTTGGAAGGTGACGGTTCGCCTTCTGGGGTTCTCTATAAGTAGAGACCCCTCCCCTCATTTTCACACTTTGCAATTTCTGAGAAATTTTTCTGAGAAAGAGAGCTCTGATACCGGCTGCTAGTTCTTGCACAACCGTCTTCCTTTTCGTCACTCAACCGGTCACCGTCTGAGTGTTCTTCATTCAAAACATATTAAAATCGCCCGAGGGTCTCTTGACATCCTCCTAGCTTTCAATACACCCACAGTCGGTCAACCGTCTGGGGTATCTTCAAGCAAAACTTCAGAGGAATGTCTAGGTTTTTCTCTAATTTTCAGTTGCTCTTCACTAGTAGAAAAAATGAATTAGGCACCCACTTTTCGCACCAGTTCTTGAAAACCGGTGGTAAAAGAAATGGGCGGGATTTGAGAAAAGATTTTTCGCACCGGTTCCTATTAAACTGGTGCGAAATCATCTTTTTCGCATCGGTTTAAACTGGTGCGAATTACAAAAGAGAAAAAAAAGGGAGAAAGAGATTTCGCACCGGTTCAGTCCAAACCGGTGCAAAATAGTGTTTTAGCACTGGTTAAAACCGGTGCGAAATTAAAAAAAAAAAACTGGGCTGTTATATCTCTCTCATCCGCCTCTCTATTTCATTCACTCCCTCTTTGGTTCTGCTCTCCATTCTCTCTTATCTCTGGTTCTGCCCTGCTCTCGTTCTCTCTCATCTCTCGTTCTGCTCTCATCTCTCATTCTCTCTCATCTTTCGTTCTGCTCTCATCTCTCCTTCCTCTTTCGTTCCCATCTCGTTCTGCTCTCATCTCTCGTGTGAGGTCTTCGATTTTCGTTCGAATCTTGTTCGAGTTAAAGCAAGTGGTGAACAGTTAGAGAGACAGTTAGACCGGCGACACTGTTACCTGCAACGCTTCCGACCAAGATACCGTCACCTTTAACGGCTTCCGGTACCGGCGATTGAAAGGTTTTTTTTTTTTTTTTTTTTTTTTTTTTTTTCTTTTCCTTGTTAAAGCTTACAAAACCCTAATATAAATCTCTCTTTCGCTCAATTTTTTCCCCAATTACTAGTAAGTTTCTTCTCTTTTTCGCTTAATTCATCTTTATATTCTTTTATGCTGTATTTTTTGTTGATTTTGTTATAGATTTAGTTGAAATTTGTGGTATTACGTTGTGTTTTTGATTTATTTTTTTTAATCTGCGTTTTTTTGCTCAATTTTTTCCCCAATTTCAAGTAATATTTTTGCTAACCTTGGCTGTGTAGAATCTGTAGATTGTGTAATGTGGGTTCTTTGATTTTGGAACTTGACTTGCTATTTTGGGTTCACTATTTCTTTTTTTCTTTTTATTTTTTTATTTTTTTTTATTTTTTATTATTCAATAACTTTGCTATGAATCTGAGTTTGTTTTGATGAATTATTAGTTTAATTCATTATAATTGGCCTATGAACAAGTTGAGTTTCACTATATTCATACTAATTAAAATTTGTATGCATTAGTCAATTTTTTCAAGCATTGGATTTGAGTGTCAATTTTTGTTAAATGAAGCTGATAAAGAGTTGTTGCTTATATAACTTTGTCTCTTTTATATGAAATACTAGAGTGTATCATGATTTGAAAGGAAATAGAATATGAGGCTGGTAAATATTATCAGATCTCAATATTATAATTACATGTTTAGAAATTCTAACAGAATATTGCATGGGAATGAGTAGGTGACATGTGTACTTGCTCTGAAATGTCAATTGCAAGCTTTAGGTTTTACTGAGTGTTCAAAAGGGGTTTGACAAGTCTGTGAAGTTGGGAAACATTAAGCAAAAATCTGATGTTCTGTATTATCATAGTATTAATTTAGAGTATATATCTTCTAGAGTAGTTTGAAGCCACATTTTATACAAGTTTAGCATATAATTTTTAAGGTTGGATATATATATTTTTCAATATGCTGTGAGTTCCGTGCCCTTCTGTCTGGTGTTTTTGCTTTTTAATCTACTGAATGTTTTTATTTTTCTATAGTTGTATAGAAAGGCGTAGTTGGGTTCTAGATCAAGTGATTTATTGTATTGTGGTCCTTGAGAAAGACTTCTAGTCGCCTGCAAATAATTAGCAATTGTGACCTTTGTACATAGTGCTGCCTTTAATGTGAGCCTTTAATTAATCTGTGTCATGATTCAAGCTACATATTGGCAACTTTATGGATTTGTTCAGACATATACATTGACATCACTAGTTTGAGTTAATTAGTTAAGCATCTCTCTTGAGGGGCTTTCTATTATCTTAAGTGGATTTTATTGATCTAACAATTGTTCTATTCAGTTTTTCATTAGAATTTCTCATCTTCAGTATATAAGATTGTCTAATTGGTACATTCTGAAACATTAGGTTTAGGTGGTATTTCTTTTTTTGTTGGTTGACGTGGAGAATAGCAACATTTGCTGATATTTGAAACTATCCTTCCACCCATTGCCGATCATAATTTTCTTTTTTGGTTTTTCCTGAAAAGCTCTAATTCTTTATTAAATGTAGTTCACTTGAGTGGTTGAGTCATCAACATTTAGAGGATCTTTGAAATACATCGGGTGTATAGGTTATGAAATATATTAGACTTGTACTTATTAACAAGATGCTTTTTTTATACCCTCAGGGTGATTTTTTTCTTTTAATAATTATTAATACTTGATAGATGGTTTGGCTTTTTTCTTGTCAATATTTTGACTTGTACTTAATCACGAGTAAGTGGGTAACATTTCTTCCATCTTATTCAATAACCCATCTCATATGAGAATTCCCATATGAGAATTCCCTAGTATATTGACTTGTGAGCAACAGAAGATGATATGGCACTTGAGTAAAAATTTCCTCTGCTATGTGTTGGATATGTAGTAAATGTGATTTTGTATATTTTTTAAATTCTGAATAATACAACAAGATGCAGGATAGCTCTATGCATCAAAGATAAACAGACAGAATTAAAAAAAAAAAAAAAAGGGCATTGCTGTTAATTGAGATTCTCTGAACCAATAGTTTACTGTTGATGTAAGCATGACCCATCATGTTTCATGTATGCGTGGACATCGAATAAGCATTACTTTATAGAGAAAAGGTTGTATCTTTACCTTTCTGTGCAGCTGTGCATACTTGTTATCTGTGGTTTATTTGGTTGTTACTTGTCTCTCCTTTTAAAATCCCTATGCTTTACTTTTGCAAGATGGGATGATTATTGAAACTCTGCATCCTAAGGGGGGAAATATAATGAGTTGCTGTTTTATGTGTTAACTCCTTTTTACATGGAGACACACTTCATAGTATATTACATGGAGTAAGATTAACTTCTTCTAGACCTAAAGTTCAGACATGGATTAAAAAGAAAAGCATTTTCTCCAAGGATTATGTGATTGTTCCTATTTGTTGTTGGTAATTGCTGCTGTCTATTGAAATTTGCTGCTATACCATGTTATATCTGGGTTCTTTTCATTGACTACATCTCTCACTTGATTTTTTTTTCTTTTTCTTTTTCTTTTTTAATTTCACTAGGAGTCACTGGAGCCTCTTGATATTTGTCCACTTTAATGATAGTTCTGACTCGAAAACTAGAACCCCATGTATGTTGCTGCTGGACTCACTTGAGAATGCGGAGCCAAAGAGACTTGAACCTGAGATTAGAAAGTATGATACTTCACTTTTGTTTCTGTAATTACTGCATTTCACTTCAAAATTTGCTCTCCCTACTTGTTTATTCTTTTTTTACAGAAAAGAATAATGTGTTGTTCTCTTGTGGTTTAGGTTACATGGATACTTACCAATGTATTGATATTTGTATTGGTAATTTATACTCCTTCCATCCCTAAATTAGAAGCCTATTTCTCTTTATTATGTGAGTAATAAATATTAGAAATAGGCTTCTAATAAAGGGACGGAGGGAGTAATATAATAATTCATACATTCTAGGATTTGAATCCTGTTGTAGCATATCATTTTCTTGTAATCTTTATGAAACATTCCACTGTGCTAAATTTGACTATTTATTGTGTTAAGAAACCAATTTCATTTTTAATCAAGACAAAGAAAACTGAAATTCATATTGTGATTGGGTGATTCACATGAATTCTGACCTTAATACACTTTTGGTGGTTTGCTTACCCAGTTAATTATATTACGTTCAATGGTTGTCTTTGGTTCAGGTTTGTTCAGGACATCTATAGGGTAGAGGGCAGGGAAGAAGACAAGAATGTGATTTCCCGAATTCCTCTCTTGATACCTAAGGTGATCTTAGTCCTGATTGAAGTATATGAACCTTGTATAGATTTATCTATATTCAGGAATAACCCTAATCTGCTTTACGCATATATGATGCCATTTTCAGGTGCCTCAACAAAGGGATGATGAGGAATGTGGAAGCTACGTTCTCTATTTCATCAATTTATTTATGCAATTTGCTCCAGAAAACTTTTGTGATTCTGATTACCCATACTTTGTATGTACATGAATCTTAATTCCTTCAGTCTTTAATGCACGTATTTCTTGTCACCTTGTAATGTAATTTTATCGTCATACTGCAGATGCGAAAAGACTGGTTTGATCTTGAAAACTTAGAGTATTTCCGCAATAACCTTGAGAAGGAAACGTCTAGTAAAGTAGCTGTTAAAAGCACACAACAAACTTGAAAAGTCAAATATTCAGATGCCCATAGCCTACGTAATGTGCATGCTCTAGCTATCCTGCTCTGTCTGAAGTCCAGAATAAAGCCTGTTTCTTTGCTGGAACTGATCGAGCTGACCTCATATGGCTATAATGTCTACTGTTTCTATTGTCAATACTCTTCTGTATAGTTATCAGGATTTAGTCCAGCTGCCTCTTATCCAAATATCTTACTAATTAATTTGTTCATTCCATTTATCATTGATGTTACTTTTAATGTGGTTATAATGTGTATGAAATGAGTGCCAAAGAGCATTGTTGAAGTTGTATGCTTCATTAGAACAGGTTTTTGGAGTATTAGAAGTAAATTTTTGTAACTTTATATATATGTTAGTGTTTATATATTAATTTAAGTGAAAAAAATGCAAAAAAAGAAATTTTTTTTTTAATTTTTTTGGGGCATTTTTAGCACCGGTTTTGAAACAAAACCGGTGCTAAAAGTTTTATTTTTATTTTTTTAGGCCACTTTAGGCACCGGTTCACAGAAAGAACCGGTGCTAAAAGTATTTTTTTAAAATTTTTTAGGGCCACTTTAGGCACTAGTTCACAACAAGAGAAAGGATTAGAGATGGTGCCTCCAGAGAAGACACCCGCTAAATCGGCTGCTCAGATCCGGAAGGATAAGTTAGAGAAGAAGAGGGCTCAACTGCCGGCCAAGGATGATGGGGTAAGCTCCGGCTGATATTATCGTCTGTATAGTTTGATGTCAATTCTGATATTAACCAGTTGCATTGTTTCTTTTTCTGACGGGGAGCAAGAACATTCCTCGCTCCCTGACAAAGATGATAAAAAGACCGGGGGAGGAGCCCTCCCAGCCTCCTTCTAAGTCCAAGAGGACTCCGGCTGCCCCTCCCTCTTTCGGAAGGCTGCATGTGCCTGAAAGGCCCACATCAGCAAGCAAGAGCCTGAAAGACCTTGGCCTAAACACAGGGCTGGCTGAGGTTGAGATGAGGGAGCCGGAAACTCCCTTAAGCCGGCAGCTTGCTGTAGCGACCGGTTCCAATGCGGCTGGGGATGGGATGACCCCTCAGCCTGAAAATGAAGGTATGGCTTTCACCTTTGATCCCCCAGGCCGCTTGGGCCTATGCGAGTCAAGTCCCAAGCTACCCAATCAGGGGATTCTTCAGGCAGCCGACAGAATGTAGGTGCCGCTTATGCTTAATACTTAACAAATAAATCTGTTGATGCAGATGCCTCTTCTTATTGGCCTGACCTCCAGCAATATGCCAAGAGGATGTTGAGGACCCTCACCCGATCCGAAAAGGAGGCGGTGCTGGGTGTGCACTTGGTCAACATTGACCGCATTAATTTGCTGCTTACTGAGGTAATTGGTCGGTTGGGGTGCTTTTGTACAATTTACACTTTTGCCGGTTGTACCATAATTGAGAGGCTAACCCTTTTTCGGCTGATTTTGCAGGTGATGTTAAGAGTAGAAGGCCTCAAGGTTCCCTTGAGGAATAAGCAAGAGGAGGTAAGAGACGCCAATAGGCGGGCGGCTGACCTTATTGACGTTACTCAATACAACACTTTAATGTATGAAATACTAACTAAAAGCCGGGAGATGAAACAGGAGGAGACAATCAAGGAGCTCACTACGGCTGCTGACGCGGCCAACAAGTAGGCGACTGACTTTGAGCTGCAAGTTAAGAACCTCCGGGTTGACGTCAAAGCTCTGGGGGATGCCGACAAGGAGAACACCCAACTGAGGGCAGAAACGAGCTGGCCCAAACGCAGGCTGACCACAAGGCCAAGCTGGAAGCCGAGCAGGACCGGCTGGTTGCTGAAAATGAGCGGGACTGCGAGGCTCGCATGAAAATGGCCTGGACCCTCATCCACCCGGACACCGAATGGGAGTTTTTCGAGTTAGGGTACAAGTACGCCACCGAGGTGTACGACGCTCAAACCCTTGGGCTTGAGAAGCCGGCTCCCTTCGAAGAATGGGCTGGCATAGTCGAGGAAGATGAGGAGGAGAAAGTGAAAGAACAAGCGTCGGGCGAGGCTAATGAAGCTCAACCTCAGCAAACTCAAGATGCTCCTCGATCCGGCCCGGGCCAGACGTCTCTACCTCCCCAGGAGCAGTGTATCTTGATTGTTTTTCTTTTTCTATCTCCGGCCTACAAGTCGAGTATTTTCTGTATTCTTATTTTCCCCGGACGTAGTTCCGGCTGACAATGATATTTGATTAATAAAATTTGCCGACTGAGTCGGTTTTGCCCATATTTGCCTTTGATATAATTTTCTTCAATTCTTGCAATTTTTCTGGTATGCTCGTTCAAATCTTTTTCTTTTTGCAATTTGACTCAGCACATGCAGTATGTCAGATGCATTGGCTTTACCTGCCCCTGGACGGTTGTTTGCTTGATATTGCCCAACCTTAAGCAGGCCGCCGTCCAAACAAGCCTCCGGACGGATAGAGAGACTGTCAATGACCGTATCTAAAGAAGTACAGTTATTCTCTAAGTTTGATTAGCAGACGGTGCCGGCTAGGACCAACCTAGAAAATTCTTTTAACCGCTGGAGTTACCCTTTGGGTAGATGTTATCGCCGTTTGTTAGGATGTAGGTGGCTATTGGCCCGGCGTAGGCATCATAACCAGGTTATGAATTAACTGCTAAGGTTTTTACCATGCTTAATTTGGGTTTGTAACCGGTTGTAGTGCCTTCGGGCAATGACCGGTCATATTTGACCAAGATTTCAGTTACCGTTTGTGTTGCTTTGAAGCAACGACCGGTTGTATCTAGGTTTCAATTGATCATTCAGACGGCCGTGAGTTATCTTTAACCTAGACAGTCGGTTAAAGCCGCTTGAGTTATGATTTTATAGAACAATGTACCACCCAAATGGGAGATGCTCTCTTCGACGAATTCACCCAAATGGGCGTCGCCAGTTGCCTGCTCATGTTGGAGCAGGCGCTTTGAAGACTATCTAGCCATTGGCCTTATAGATAGCTGCTAAGTTTGAGACTTAGCTTATATCTACTCAATTTAGAGCAGACGTATGTCCGGTTGTGCATTGCACAGATGGGACTTTGTACAAGAAAACATAAATAAAGCATCTTTTTATTAACATACTCTATTTACAAAGATTTACAAGTCTTCAGAAGTAGTACTTTTTCAAGTTATCTACATTCCATGTTCTGGCTAGCTGCCTGCCGTCTGGAGTTTCCAGGCGGTAGGTGCCGCCTCTAACTTCTTTGAAAATCCGGTAAGGGCCTTCCCAATTAGGGGTTAGCTTTCCTTACTCATTGGCCCTACCGGTGGCCTCCATTTTCCGTAACACAAAGTCCCCCACTTTCAAGGGTCGTTTGTGCACTCTTCTGTTATAGGCTTTTATCATTCTCAGACGGTATATCTCATGACGTAAGGCGGCATTGCCCCTGCGCTCCGGGAGTGAATCCAATGCTAGACGCATGGCCTCCTAATTGGCCTCTTCATCATATAGCATGATTCGAAGTGTTGGCTCGTAATGTTCAATAGGCAGAACGGCTTCAGTGCCGTATGTCATGAGAAATGGGGTTTCACCAGTTGCCCCTTTTTCAGTTGTTCTGATGGCCCATAGGACATGAGGCAACTCATCTGCCCATAGACCGCCAACTCTTTCAATTTTATTTTTAATGCCGTCTGAGAGGAGCTTGTTGAAGGCTTTAACTTGGCCGTTCCCTTGATCTCCAACCAGCTCTTGAGGGTAGGCGTTTCAAATTGAGGGCCATTATCAAAGACCATAGACATAGGTACCCCAAACCGAGTGATGATGTTTCTCCAAATGAAGGAGATGACATCCTTTGTCTTAATGACCTTGAGCGCCTCTGCCTCAACCCATTTAGTGAAGTAATCTACAGCGACAAAGATGTACCTCCGTCCGCCTGTAGCAGGCATATATGGACCCAGGATGTCCATGCCCCATTTTGCAAATGGAACTGGGCTGTAGATAGCCGTCAAATCAGTAGCCGGACGATGTATGAGTTTGCCAAATCTTTGACACTTGTCACACTTCTTCACCATTTCCATGGCGTCTACCTCAAGGGTGGGCGAAAAGTAGCCTTACCGCCTGGCCCTTTTCGCTAGAGTTCTGCCACCTATATGTGATGCACAAAGGCCCGAGTGCAGATCCTCTAGAACTTCTTTCCCCCTTTCCAGGGTAACACATTTCAGCAGCGGCTGGAGGTAACCCTTTCTGAAAAGTTCTCCATTATGGATCTCAAAACTTGCGGCTCCCTTCTTCAATGCAGCCGCTTCTGAAGGGGCATCTAGCAAAGTGCCGTCTGCTAGATAAGCCCGGATGACATCCATCCAGGTCAAGCTTCGGTCAAGAACTCCAATGGGAACATGTTCAATGCTTCTTTTTTCCATGACTTCCCAAAAGACTGACCTAGCGTATCACAAGAGGCGAATGATTCCAACTTAGACAGTGCATCCGCCTGATTATTTTCTGATCTGGGCACCTGACTTAATTGAAATTCGTCAAGTGTCCTGGCCTCGTCTTTGATCGCCTGCAGATATTTGATCGTAGCCGGATTGGTGGCCTTGTAGTCACCATGGTATTGGCTAACGATCAACTGAGAATCAGAGCAGGCGTCTACCTTTCTTGCTCCTGCTGCCTTGCACATACGGATGCCGGCTAGCAGGACCTCATATTCCGCCTCATTATTTGAGGCTTGGAACTTGAACCGTAGTGCATATTCATATTTGTCCCCTTCCGGAGACTTACAAATTACGCCTGCACCACAGCCGTTCATAGTAGAGCTCCCGTCTACATATAACTTCCAAACCTGATCAACATTTTTCGGTTGAGCTGGCCTTGTCATTTCGACAATGAAGTCGGCGGACGCCTGACCTTTCACTGCCTTTCTTGGTTCGAAAGCTATTTCCAGACTTTGCATTTAAATAGCCTATTTGAGCATTCTACATGATGACTCTAAGGTTGTCATTGTCGCTTGAGGGGTTGGTCTGTGTAGACCACCACCGGATATGCCAAGAAGTATGGTTTCAACTTCTTGATTGCCATGAAAATAGAAAGGCCAAAATTTTCAACCAAGGGGTACCGCAGCTCAGCATTTCAAAGAACATGGCTAATGAAATAGACCGGGAGCTGAATGTTGTCTCTCTCAGCTAGGAGAACAGCACTGAGGGCATGATCTGAGACGGCGAAATACACATAGAGAACCTCTCCTACTAGAGGGCTGACCAGCCGTGGCAATGAGTGGTTATGTGATGGAAGCCTAAATAGGCGTCCATGAAACTCATCAAGGCATGACCGGCTGTAGAGTCGACCAGACTCTCGATCTTTGGAAGTGGATAGCTATCCTTTTGACATGCCTTGTTCAGACTTGTGTAATCGACACACATCCGCCAGATACCA